CAGATGCACCTGCAGAAAAAGTCAATTAATATTGATGGACTTTCTTGGATATTTTCAAATCCTAAAACCTTTATTTAATAACCATTAAATACTATTTTCTTTATATCCTATTGCTGTTTTGCCAGATATTGCCAGATATTATTCAAGTCTCAATGTCTCAATGTAGTACCTTGCAATCCAATTGGTCCAGGAGATCCAGGGACACCTTTAGGGCCCTGACGTCCCTGAATACCACCGGGCCCCATCTGTCCTGGGGCCCCTGTAGTAGAGTCTCCAAAAGACCCTTTTAGACCCTGGGGTCCACGATTACCAGGTGTGCCAGGTGAGCCACTAATACTGGTGCCATCTGGCCCAGTGTCACCTGGATCTCCTAAAGATCCAACTGGACCTGCGGACGAGATTGCAGGGATATTAGATTTTTGTAATACTTTTGAACTTGACGCGCTTTAGTCGAGTTGATACTGTGGGTATATCATGCGGACATAGAATAATTGATAAATGCATGTTGAATAGAATCAAAGAGGGTTTATTCAAAGATTCAGAAACATTCATAAATTGAACAGAAATGTTTTTAAATACACCAAAACCTTAAATGATATTCTCTACCTTGAAATCCTGCTAACCCACTATCGCCAGGATCTCCACTCTCTCCCTTGGGACCATCTGGTCCAATTTGTCCTTTGCATCCTGGATTTCCAAGCTGACCTATCTCACCTGGAAGAAAACATGAAGGTTTTGGTCATATACTGTATCTGATAACAATCATCAGTGCTGTGATATTTCTACTTTGAGAATTGGGTACCTTTCAATTCATATATTTGCAGTTTAAGAGAAACGCTTTTTAAAGAAATTCTAAGAGTCCAAAACAGGCTTCATTAGTTCAATACACATTTTGCAACAAAACATCAACTAAGTCTGACTAATTATTCTATGTTTGTTCTTGATAAGTAGCATACATTTGAAATTTGAGAAATTAAGATCAAATTTATTTCTCTAATTTATCTGTCAAAGTAATTACCATTCACACATTTTCCCACAGATTTTGCGACCACTAAATGTCAACCACATTGTTTTCAATTAATTTTAAAAACATCAATAAAAATATCCAAATTTGAATCTATTGGTTATATCATGTACTGAGTTATAACCACAAAAGTGCACTAATCCAAAAAATTGGTACCATTTAGAGAATGATTGTATATAGAATGTCAGATCTAGAACTAAAATTGGCACCCAATAATGAGCAAAAGTAAGTAAAAATATAATCTCATTTATAAAGTAATTAACATATATAACAAAGACTTATGATTTTATTTTTTACACTTTACACTTTAAAGGTACAATACTCTTATTCAATTTAATATGAAATACTCTTTTACAATACTCAGTTCCTCTTATTCCTCTACAATACTCTTATTCCTTCAGTTGTATCATTTCTTTTTTCAACCAAACTGAGAGAACTCTCACTCTTTCATTCAGAAATTATTTCAATATATATTTACCTTTACGACCAGGCATTCCTTTAGAACCTGGGGCTCCATGTATGCCAGGTTCACAGGGCAGGGCATCACCTATCAAAAAATAAATAAAAATCAAGAAATTCTCACTGACCTCAAACATTTACACATCAACAGATTTCAACATCCTCCATTCTGATATTTGTTTTCAATAAATTGTATTTATAGTGGATAGCAAAACCTTACTCAGCTTACTGAATGCCTTACTTACCTTGAACGCCTTTAGGACCAGGGGGTCCCGTCTGACCTTGAGGTCCTGGTTCCCCTGGTTCTCCCCGTTGCCCAACTGACCCCATCATATTAGGGCCAGGAGGACCAGGTGGACCTCTGAGGCCTTTTACCCCAGCAGCTCCTGGACAACCCCTGTCACCCAGCGGACCAACAACACTATCTCCCTGGAAAGGAAATATTTTTTTTTTTT